TTGGAGATGGATGCGCAAGAAAAAGGAAGAAGAGAAGGAACTTAGAGAAAGAATTCAAAGAGTAAGAGTATAATGAAGGGTAGAACTCTCACTTCTTCTCCTTTTGCTAAGGATTTCAATCTTGAAATTTTAATTGTTTTTATAGCTAAGTGAAAACCCATATGAGTCAGCAGTGGACTGGTTTGATCTACTAAAAATTAATGTCATCAAGCAATGGTGGGAGATTCCTCGTGATGATTTGACCCTTGAAAATGTTCTCGGGTCGGGTGCCTTTGGTGTTGTAAAGAAAGGCTATTTGAAGAAGGGAATCAAAGGGAAAGRAGATGATATCATGCAATGTGCTGTCAAGATGTTGAAAGGTGCKTAAGATATTTGATGGTCCTTTTTGCACAGCGTATATAACTCAAAGTAAAATCCCATATAGCTTGAAAAAGCAACACTCCCCTTTGRTTTTAGCTTTAAACTCGTTCTTATTATAATTTTCTTTTAGAAAATCCATCTGAACGTGAGTTACGCGATTTATGCAGCGAAATTAACATMATGTCCAAAATTGGAGATCATCCGAACGTCGTGAGCCTTATTGGTGCGTGCACGATTAACGGTGAGTCAAGTCAGCTTGAATAAAGTCACATGAGAAAGATCAAGGCGTTTCGACTTTATTTATTACAAAATCTAGAAAATTCGTGATTATATGRCAGGTAGGAAAAATTAACTTATTGTCAAATTATTTTGCGTCCAAGGACCACCTTTGCTAGTGGTGAAATTTGCCCCAAATGGCTGCCTCCTTGACTACCTCAAAGAAAACCGGCCATTACCTGATTATGAAAACCAAAAGAGAGATCGTAAAGTAATCAGCGAAAAGGAGCGACTAAAGTTTGCACACGAGATCGCTCAAGGGATGTCACATCTTGAAAAACATAGGGTATGGATGACTATCCATGAATCAGCTTTGCATAATATGTGACCATCTAGTATTGTTCATTTTCAGTTTAAAAGTTTGAAAATTAAATACATTTTAAATTGTTCATGTTATTCGCAACATGGAACTGCTGTTGGACTATATTATTAAGTCGTATGTACACCGAAGATTGTCTCAGCTTTTCACTAATAAGGCAATAGAACCATACATCATTTCAAATTATAAATCAAGGATAAAGTTATACTCTGAATATTTTTGAATCTTTCCCAAMACTGCCAAATATTGATTGCCTTATCTATTCTATCAGTATGTCCACCGTGACTTAGCTGCTCGTAATATCTTGCTTGGTAAGGACATGAATGCTATGGTTTCTGACTTTGGCCTATCACGAGACATATATGAGGTTGGAATGTATGAGAATACAGCAGGGGTAAGTACACCAAAGTAACTCTATACTATAGACTATGCATCAATGWTGTTTCGGGGCTCCAATTTTTTGTACTGGCATGATGAATTGTGTAAAGATCTCTCGCTCGTCTTGTGCTTCCTTTTTCCCATCGTGTTTATATCAGCGAAMAAGAATCAAAATACCTCATTACCATTTTGTTTTAAAATTGAGCAAATTTTACAAGGATTCTTTTATTCATTACTTTTTAGGGCGTTCTTCCTGTAAGATGGATGGCTATCGAATCTTTGCAAGATTACACCTATAATACTGAGACTGATGTGTAAGTAACTTTAGTTTTCCACCTTGGTCTTAAACAATTAAGTTATAAAGGATGGATTTCCGTGCAACATCTCCATGAATCCAATGCACGTATACTTGAGTTAGTGTTTTTTGAGTTTTAATCCATAATATTTTGAAACTACATCAAGCGATCCACTATTGAATGATTTCATTACATAACAAGTTTTGTTCAAAGAAACGATTAGCACCGGCCAGTCTTTGCTTAGGCGAACCAGAATTATTTATAATCCCAAAAAATGATTTGTAGTTTTCATAAATGTCAAATTATTATATGTAATAGGACTCCATGCTGTCCAATTAAGAAATAATTGGACGAGGAAAATTCCGAGGACTGCCAAAAATTGGACGAGGCCGTGGCCGAGTCCAATTTGGCAGTCAGAGGAATTTTTCGAGTCTAATTATTTCTTAATTGGACAGCATGGAGTCTTATTACCTATTAATTATATAGCCACATATTGATCCCAAATAGGTAAAAGCCAACCACAGCTTTTAACAAAAACCCAATTGAAAACCTACCCAATTAATTTCTTAATTGGACAGGATTCCAAAATTAACGAAAAATCCAGCTTTTACCTATTTGGGATTAATATGTGGCTATATAATTATTGCAGCAATTGTTCACTCAATCTTACCACTTCTTTCATTCATAGCTGGTCCTATGGAGTTTTACTCTGGGAGATTGAAAATGGAGGTAATGCCATTCAGAACTAGTTTTGTTTAAATCCGTGCTATGAGCACTGAGCTTCTTTATGGTTGTCATTCTGTTTTGTAGCTAATTGTGTACATCAAATCACTTGTCTTTATATTCTTGCAAKTAGGAAGTTCACTCGATGTTGTGATCTACTTTATAAGGATTTTTGAAGAAATCGTTGAATACTGAAAATAGTGTTCTCAAAAGCAAAATACATTGTTGGTCGACGTATTCCCACTCTTTAAGTGTAATTTTCACAGTTGCAGAGCGACTGTGCCAGTTCGACTGCAGCTTAATGGAGCGTTGTAATTTACAACAGCCTATTCACATGGAATCCAATAGCAAGAATGTATTTCGATGTTGGAATAAAACWATGCAGTATTAGAAGGCTTTTTTTAAATAGAGATGTGAGCTTTTTTTCCTTGTCATTCCAGGTATCGTTCCTTACGGAGGGTTGTCCGGAATTGAGATTCTCGAGAAGCTAAAAGAAGGCTACCGTTTAGAAAAATCACCTAACACGTCGCGTGACTTGTAAGCAGTAATAATGAATGAATATATCATAAATATATTTTGATTAATTTTTTTAATTTACAAATTTTTTTTGTCAGGTATGCAATTATGTGGAAATGCTGGAATCCAGATCCCAAGCAAAGACCGTCATTTTCTGATTTGGTGTACCAAACAAGCGGGCTTCTGTCTATCAGTGGGGTACGCCACACTCAATTGTCACATGTTTTGTAGTGATAGCAAAGGCTTTGGGAATGTTCAAATATAAGTCATGTATTTTTCCTTTTTCACAAGAAAAAAGTTTATCTTTGTATTTTATACCGAAATTAGTGTGTCCTTTGTGTTGAACATGTCAATATTGTCTTGTTTCCTTTTTCAGGGATATGACGAAGTTGTCATGAAAGAAGATCACGCWTACGACATGGTAGAGATAAAAARCAAAATGAATGAACCTTTTGACAACGAGGCCATTGAGCTACGTGAAGTTTAACCGGAAGAAAATACCAACACGCTCGCGTGACGGATTTATTMAACCGATCATTAGTGACATCACTGTCGACGTTTTATTATATTAATTTAAAGCTAAGCACCGTTACACTAGCAAAGCAGTAGAATGTTACCAATAATCAACTTGRATGAGAGAGGGACGGAGGTAATATTTCGTATGAATATTTCGAAAGTAAAGGTTTGTCCAGGTAGCGTATTRAGCTAGTAATAACTGGACAGCATAAATCGAGGGTGAATACAGCCACTCATTGTATGATCATGACTTGCTCGYATGACGCACACGTGATACCTAATTTATTGCTTAACAGTAGAAAACTGGGACGACAAGCCAACGYATGCGTGATTTTTAGAAAAAGATAAACTAGTCTTGGTTTAACTTACTTGAATATTATATTTAATCACAATTAATCTCATTTSATTGCAGTGTTTGAAGTAAGACAACAATCATAAATTATGATAGTTAAGGTTTCATGTGAACTGCACTGAATGCAACAATTTTAA